CACTGAATCTAGAGCCTACCACGTGGTTGCAAACGCAGCCATCTCAGGAGAATGCAATTGCAGCATCATCTCCCAAACCTGACTATCAAAGAGGGACCTTTCATCCAAAGAAACAACAACAAAAACACAACGGAATCCGCCAGCCCCACACCTGGCCCTACCGGCCAGGTGATAACCGCTGGTCTGAGGGTTTGTTCCCAGAGCCTCCCAGGGGCATGGAGGGCTCCGGGCTCGGGCTCACCTCCGGGCCAGCATGGCGTTCATCTCCTCCATGAGCCCGCCCCCTGTGCTTCGACTGCTCTCAGCTTTGGGGGCTGCGGGCCCCCCTGAGGCCTCCTCCTGCTGGAGAAATTACAGAGAGGGGGCTTTATGCGCAGGCCTCCTGATGTGCCCAGGCGACTCAGGCCTCATTCCCCACTATTCCCTCAGGGCCCCGTCTCCCCACACCCTGCCACGTCTGGCCCCCTCACCTTGCTGACTTTCCTGAGCTTGGCTCCGGCAATGGCTGCAGCCAGGCCGGCGGCCCCAGTCCCTCCACCACTGGGGCCAGCTGCTGTGGGGAGAGGGGGTGGAGGGGGTGGGCCTCCCCCTGCTCCATGCCCTACAGCGGAGACCCCCGAGGGGGGCAGACCAGAGGGTGGGGGGGGACCCGGAGGCGGAGGAGGTCCTGGAGGTGGAGGCGGTCCCCCAGCTGGGGGAGCAGGTGGGGCTCCTGAAACAAAGAGACAAAGGAAGGGTGCTGAGAGACAGGCCTCATTCCTTGTTATCCAGCTGCCCCCCCCTCCTCTGGGGAGCCCCCCTCCCTCCAGGGGCCATGTGAACAATCACCTGCATTGGAGACCCGGCGCTCCAGGTGCTCTGGCTGCCTGAAGAGGGGAGGAGGGGAGGGCTGCCGTCACTCAGGACCCTGAGAGTGGCCCCCACCCCTGGCCGCTCCGAGGTCTCCACCCGCTTCCTTCCCCAGGGGCCCAGGAAGGGGGAGGGGGCAGCAGGGACAGGGTGAGCCAAGATGCAAGCACTCTAGCCACCAGACCGTCAGCAGCTGAATTACAAAATGCGCGAGATGCTTTCAAGAGCCAAGCGTTAGACTCGGAAGGGTGAGGGGTTTCTAACCAGCAGGAGGCAGGGGCTCCTGAAAGCTAAGGTCTAGTCTAGCCCCCGGGAGCTGCAGTTGGGGTGGAGAATTCTAGGCGTCAGGGGCGTGGCAGCGGTAGGATTCCCACCGGGACCCGGCCCACCTTTTCTGAAGCTCCGCCTCCTCGGGGGCGGGGCCGTTCTGGGCCGACCAGGAGGGCGGTGCCGCCTGCGGCTGCG